TTTTGTTTGCTAGCATTTTTTAAGCAGAAACTTAATCAATTACCTATTAAGTACACATGCATGATCAATATGAAAGTACGTTCTTTACTAGGAATTGTTTGTTGCTGATTTTTTTCGACTCTAGCCGAGTTTATCCAAACGAAATCTGACAGATCAACCTGATTCACATTCCACAAAAAAGTGGAAAACGCTTCTAAGAAAGTTTTCACTCCATAAACAGCTAGCAAACAGAATATACAATTACATAAAAATCCGTGCCTTGGTCCTAAGTCAATGATCAGAGGAACCAAACTGGGATAGTAGTTTCTAGGAGGAACTTTAGTAACGGGGTATGAATAATCAAAGGTTGTCAGTCCCAGCACAGTCCTTTCTGTTTGTCAGATTTTATTAATGAAAAGTACCAGATTGATAGATTCCAAACCATATTTATTTTGATTATTAAATAATTGAGTTCCTAACCGAATAGTTGTCAGTATGCCAGTATAATCCGGTGCCTGGTACACGTGTGGATACACCTGGATCCCTCCAAATCCTAGAACAACAACCTGCCGCATCAGTCTGCAATAACGTTTCCTCAGAGGTAGTATTCAATTTTCCTGGATTTCCCCCTCACGAAAAACAACTCCCATCATGATTGGATTTTTATAAACATTCGTAGGTGGATTTGATATCCTTTTTCACAGAGCATTAGAAAGATTTATTTTCCAACCCTCTATTTTCTCCCGAAGAGAAAGATTGACAATAAATTCAGCAAACTAATTTAATTTATAACATAATATGTAGTAATTATATGTGGTATAGGATGTGTGTCAAACATAATAATTATGGAATTTAGAAAAAAAAAAACCTTTTCTATCTTCTTCAGTCATTTATAAAACCCACGTTAATGAGGATGTAGATTTAAAATATATTTAATTATATTTCTAAGTTATTTCAATGTGTTCCAACCGCTTGAGTCATTTAAACCTCATTAAGTTCTATACAGTGGTTATGGCGGTATTCACTTATATTCATATCTAAAGTTATAAGACACTTTTGCTTTTATTTCTGCATAGCAAAAATAAGATACATTTATGGCTATTTAATATAATTATTAATTAAGTTTTTCGTATATTTTAAAAAACTTTTTTCTTTTATTCATTCATGATATTTACAACCATATTAAAAAAAAAAAAAATACATCTAGTAAATGTGCACTGAGGAATTTAATAAGATGAAAACGCTTGTTGAGAAACTACCCAGAGGTAGTAATCAAATAATAAATTTACACAAGAAGATCACGAGGCTACCTTCTTTTATCAGACGCCTCGGAAGGTTATCAGGAATCGAGGAGGAAGCAAGATTTGGAACGAGTGGATTCGGATGGTTCTGAAGTTTTTTATGGAAGGATACGTATCTGGATTGGGTCAAATCGGAAGCATATAGAACATTAAGGTCGTTATGGATGATTTTATTTGTGACTAAATAAAGAGCGTTGAGGATTTTGGATTTTAAGGATTGGATTCGTGAGGAATTCGATGGTTTAGTGGAGCCCCAAAGCTCAATTTCGTAAGTCCAAAGATGTCTAATTATTGTCGTATTTATGAGTCGTTTGTAATTGATTGAAAGCTTAGAGCGTTTGTCTAATAAATGCTGGAGTAATCGGAAACTTCGAGCGGTTTCTTGCCGTTTCAGTCTTGCGTGAGTCGTTTGTTCAGGTATTTTAAACTTATAATCTTTATTCATTATACCTATTAAAAAAAAAAAGTGTTCTTGATACATGAAATTAATTCAGTTTAAAAATTTTAAAACCCTTTAAACAATGATATTACATTTTAAGTTAAACCACACCCGCTAATAAACGAAATAGCTATTAAATTAAAAACTAGCATTCGCTGATGGGAGCAGATGACAGCAAACTATAGGTAAACAGCTTAAGGGAAATCCTTTTACTGTACGTGTAATTCTTTGCCCCAAAGCAAAAAACTAAAGAAGCGTCAAACATTACATGAATTGTTTAAGATGGAGGAGGATCTAAAGATAAAGGAAACCGCCTGGAAGAGGATCTACTTGATTTTCTGGAGAACAAAGGCGGAAAAGCGGTCTGAATAGCTCAACTTCTCAAGTTAACATCAAAAAGATTGGGACAAGTCGAGCGGTTTGGAAATCAAAAGGTTTCTCCTTTTAATTATTTCCCTTAAGATCACTTAATCGAATTTCTTTGTATACAACTTCCACTCTTGGCTGACCGCAGATATCTAATTGTTTTTAAGGGTATGTTTCTAAATAACTGAGATTTTATAAATATTTAATTTTCATCTTCAAAACTTATATATATATATATATATATATATATATATATATATATATAATATAATTTTCATCTCTCTACAACTGATATATAAACTATATATATATAATATTAGTTTTGAAGATGAAAATTAATATTTATAAAATCTCAATTTTTTTTTTTACATATATGTATATGTATATATATATATATATCATATAGTATATATATATATATATATATATATATATATATAATATATATATATAATATATATATATATATATAATATATATATAACTATGTATATACTATATTAACTATGTATATGTATATATATATATATTTATATATACTAAAATAAGAAGGCGGTTGCGGCGGACCGGGTTAACTCCCAGCAACCAATTATATGATAATGAAGTTTACAAGATGAGTTCGCGTCCCGGTGCCGGAGAGGTTTTAACTCTAGCATTAATCCCCCACCCTCTCCCCTGTACAGAAAAATCCCCTTATATCCTAAAAGGCAAGGAAGAGGTGGACACGAAAAAAACAATAACTTGTACTAAAATAACTGATATATATTAGCAGTAGATTGTAAAGTAAAAAACTTTAGAAGAAATGACGAAGTTAATATGATTATAATAGTTATGCAATATTACTATATACCTACATATTGTTATATACACCAAGACGCTGTTGGAAATTTCAAACTGTATTGATAAAAAGAAACAGTGAAGTTATTATTAAAAAAAATATGAAATATCTTCTTAAAGAATTATTCATTGATAATGCTTCAACGAATTAATTTAAGTAAGTAGATCTCGTGGTCATCCTTAAATTTTAAATAAAAATGATGAATTTATTTTATTTTTTTTAAGATGCTCTTTACTACAGTATTGGAGGGAAAAACAAATTGTAAAAATGAATATAATATGCTATACACCAGCATGTTCAATGTTGCTATATTGAATGTTCAAACACTGGACCACTTAACAAAATTAACAGTGGGTCTCTGGGGTCTAACCAGTCTAAGTATGTAGTTTAACAACACAAGTAAACAATTTAATCGATAGAAAAACATTTATCAGTATTTTTTTTATTTATTCTTCTGTTTATGTTATTTTCCTATCTGTCTTGAATGCCCATCTCTCGACTTGTAGAAATTGTTTTGGAAGATATCCTACCGTTCGTTTATAAATATATAAAATTAAGATGCTGTTTTAAATCAATTAAAAACTGTGTTTAGTCAAATGTTTCCATTAATTCGAAATTACGTTTAATTTTCTATTTATCCTACTTGGTTAACAAGGAGATTCCTTCGTCGGCTAGTAATTCTTATTCCGTAAATTTCGCATTTCAGTTTTTCTAGTGGATCTATTCTTTGTCTCAATTTTTCATAGAGCAAGGAAGTTTGAAAGAAAAACATCTGTATATGCATTAAAATTCTTTACATCCTATCCAAGAAAGATTTTAAGAGGTTTAGTCAAAAGAACATTGGCTCAGCGAAGACGTTTTCGTCTTGAAAATGTAATCTAGACATTAATGTAATCTGATATACAGACATTAATCACTTTGGGTGCTATTGAACCTAACTGAAACATTAAGACACCAATATTAAAAAATTAGATTGGTTTTCAAACAAGGGACAGAGATAAGCATCAAGAATTTACTGTGACAAAGAAATATTCGCCTTCAAACCATAAGAGAACTGTTCACTGTGTAAAATAATATAAGGATACCAACGGTCCATTTCCTCGGTTATTGCCTTGTCTTAAATAGCAAAGGAAGGTTTTTAGTAGTTTAGTGATTGCTATCTATAAATTTTGTGGAAGCAACTTAAGAAATAGAAAGTATAACAAATTTATGTTAACTGTAACAGTATTCCTGCCGCTGCATTAATTGACGGATAACGGAAGAAAAGTCATAAGGGAGTTTTAAAACGGCAAAAGTTTTGTATTTTTTTTTTTAATATTTAGAGTTAAAAATCTAAATATACACATATGTATGCGTAGGATGTCCCGTAAGCATAGGAAAATATTTAAAGAAATAATACTAAACTTCAAAGTTCACTTAGAAATACGAATAAATTCCGAATAAATATAGAGGAGATCTGGGTAAAAAACATAGTTTCATAGTCACCTCTAATGATGAAAAATTGAAAAATCGTTATTTTTATTTTCATAAATAAGTGATGTAAACTTATTAAACACGGAAGTTTGTCTAATATTGGGGTATCTAGTATAGTCGGAGGGTGATAAAAAAAAGTCACGAATAATTCATGTTTTGAACCAGGAACGTTCGCAATTGAAAGCTAGGATGCTAGCCACTAGACAATAGAGACTAAGTGTCTCTATAGTCTAATTCATTATGTTTTTAAAAACAGAATTTAGCTTAATTTAGCCACCCAAAAGTCCTCTATAAATAGTTTTAAAAATGTATAACTTTACTTTCATTTAAAATAAATTAATCTACTTAATTAAGAATTTTTTAATTATATTTTCGTATTAAACAAAAAACGTCATTTACTTAAAAATACAAAAAACATAAACTTTTTTTCTCGATAGTTAGACCACCTCTAAAGTTGCTTATTTAAACTTGTTTATAGCTCTTGAGATCTACTATCACCCCTTTGATTATTTCTCTATACTCACGGAACACCCTGCATTATTTATTCTATGAGTTTTGTATTTTTGAGCCATAAAGTTTGTTATTATTACTATCGTTCTTAATCATGGCCTCTTCAGACTCCAAACTACACGAATATGCTAGTAGGCGATTAGCCAGCAGGAGAAGAAACAAGAAGCCGACAGACGGTGGTAGAAAGAAGGAAGGGTATTGTCCAGGACAATCGCTGGCAGGATCTGGCCCGTGCCACAGAGTCCTCTGTGTTCCAGTTATCTCTTCCATCTCCGGCGCGGTTATGGACCGCTAGTTCCAGGCTGATGGGCTCAATAACGCGGGCTTTCTAGTCATGTTAACAAGAATTCAAATAATACCGTATATGAATATAAATATATTTTGCCAATTATTGTTATATTATACGAAATTTGATACCATTCGCAAAATAAGAGAAAGATAAAAGAACGCCGACGTTATTATATGAATGATTAAAAACTCCTAACACAGTCAAAATACCATTAAAAAATCAATGAACTTCACCATCAAAATAAAAACTTTACAAGTGAATATAAACATTTTTTTAAAACTGTTTTATTGGTATTTGTAGGAATCTATTTTAACGTTTTAAATGAGAAAAAACCCAATCATATCACCGGTACGAAAAGTCAGTGGAGAATGAGGGAGAGCGCTGTAGTCACATACACCACGTATCTTGAACAGAGAATGCCAGAACTCTACATATACATATACATGCATATCAACAAACGGTTGCGGCACCACTGCCGTTTCAATCATTGGGTATTATAGGGGTGGGTGGAAATTGCACAAGGAGAGGGATTTAGATGATATGTGGGGTTCCCGTAAAATTTGGAGAATTTTTCTGGGATAATGTCCAAGGCAAATAGGTGGTCATGATGTAGGGCTTTATAGGGTCAACAATAGGTAATAGGTGGGTAAATAGAAATAACAAAGATGCTGTAGAACTGCCTTGCGAACTGGAAAGGAAAGACCTAACATTGGCAGAGGTGGAAAAGGCTAGTTTTGGCTTCTAAACATTCACCAGAGATGTAAAGCGAAAAAAACCTTGTACGTGGAATAATAAGTATATTCAAGTCGAGAGTCAAGTGTCCGACTCTAAATTAAATCTATTGTACATTAAAAATTTATTTTTACCAAACAAACTACAATTTCAATGGGAGTTATTTTTTATATATAATCAATTACATAACGAAAACTCAAATTAAAGGCACTTAGAGAACTAAAATTGATTGTTGTATTGCTAATCACACAACATAATTATAAAATTATGAACTTTCAGATTTCGTTGAGCGGGTATTCGAAACAACATAAGAGCTTATATAAATCCAGAGTATTACCTAACCCAAATAAAACTATTTTCATAAATGATTTGAGGTTCTTTAATTTTTTTTCAAATATTTAAGCGCAAACAAAGCTTTCTTCTCTCTTTCAATTGAAATCCCTAAAAAATTCAAGAAATCTCAAATTAAGGGTATACAATTCTATGATGAAGCCATTGCTAATATATGGCTGTGAAATCTGAGCACTGACCAGCACTGTAGAAGAAAATGTTGAAATATTTGTGAGAAAAATCCTCCGCACGATAAACGGAGCGATCAGAAATCAGATTAGTTACACATTGAGAAGAAAGCCTAATAAAAAACTTTTTACAGAAACTGGTCATTCAATATCTCATGATATAAAGGCACGGAGGTTAAGGGCATGTAGCTTGTAGCAATCCATCTGGAACCCTACACGTAATAATTAATGCATCGATAGAAGGGTAAAAGACCAGGTGGAAGGCCAAAAAGAAGATGTATAGACAGAATCAACAAAGATGCAACAGAGCTGCGTGCAGAGAACTGGAAAGAAATTGCCCGAGACAGGCAGAGTTTGAGCAGGCTTGTTAAGGCGGTTTTATTTATGTTAGTTTTACGGAAAAAGATCTACATGATCTATAATACCATCAGAAAAAAAAAAATTAAAATCAGTTATTAAAACGTAAAAAAACAACAACCAAAACTGAAACTTTTGCATGAAGTGAATGTCCAAGAAGTCTTTAAAAATATCTGAAATATTATTCTAATGATATGATCTCAATAGAAACCACTAGGAATCAACTGAAGATACGTAATTCATCATGGTTCGAAATAATTATTTAAAAAATGGATTGTAAAGAAAAATACTATTTTTTTTTTTTTTAATTCTAACTCAGAAGACTTACTGAACGTAGGAAAAAAACTTAATTATAGAAACAAAAGTACTAGTTAAAAAAAAAAAAACGAATGGAAGAGGTAGAAGATTTGAATTAAAACTGGAAGTAATCTTTTTTCCTTATAACTAATGAGGTTAACTCATACTTAAAGCTGATCGGTATATCATGCTAAGCCCAGGAGGGAATCAAGAATTTATTAAAGCTCTAAAAAGAAATTAAAAAGTTAGTTTCCATTCACTTATAATAATAAGGGCTTAAAGTATATTTTATTAAATTCCCTAATCAATATTAATATGTGACTACATAAAGGGGTATTTAAAGTTAATTATTCTTAATTATTTATTAATGCTATCTATTCCTTATAATAATGTATACTAGGTGTCTGCTGATTAAAGCCAGTGGACCGTCTCCAGCCCGGAAGTGCTTTCAATCCGGCCCGCGAAAGCATATTTGATTCCATAATAAAATTTTTAAAACTATTTAAAAATAAAAAATTTAGCAAATTACTCACACATGAGATTACCGCACATTTATTTCATAGTCTTTTTTTCACAGCTGAAGTGTCATTTAAATATTAAGATTTTTTTTCCCATGGCCCTGCGGAACTTCGTCCACATCTCAATGTGGATTGTGTTCTGAGTATAACGCTCTTCGCATTAGCTATAAGCATACTTGGAAAAAACCTTCCTCGGGGAGTAAAACCTATGCTATTCGTAGATGATCTAGCAATCCTCTGCCGATCAGACAACATCTTATCGATAAAGGGAAAACTGCAAGAGGCACTAAATCGCGTTATCCATTGGTCACAATCAACATGACTACGAATTCTCAACAGAAAAATCAAAATGCATCCATTTCAGCAGAAAAAGTACTATTTCACAACTACCTGAGCTTCTACTAAACAATGTCTCACTACTTTATGGCGATAGCTGCAGATTTTTAGGATTAAGGTTTAACAAGCGTCTGACGTGCGAACATCACTAAAAATCGCTGAAAGAAAATTGCCTAAGAAAGCTCAACATACTGAAAGTCCTTAGCGGAACCAGTTAGGGAGCAGACCGTGCGACTATGCTCAAGATATACAAAGTTCTAATACGCTCCAAGATGGACTATGGTAGTTTTATTAATGCTTCCGCCCGAAAAAGTATACTTAAAACTCGATACAGTACGCCGTAAGAATCGCAACCAGAGCTTTCAGAACTAGTCCGATACTAAGCCTCTGCACCGAATCAAGAATATCATTCAGTCGTGACAAATTACTCATTAATTACTGTACACAACTATACGAGCAAACTACTCACCCTTCCCACAGATACGTATTCAAGCGGAAATTTTCCTCAACATTCCAACCAAAGTCCAATGCTACACTACCATTACCAGAGAGAGTATCTTCTATACTTCAACAGTTAAAATTAAGTACCGTTAATTCAACAGAAAACCCAACACCTTTCTGGACATATATACAACCTCGAATAAATTTACAACTAAATAAATTTCACAAAGAAAAAACAGCAGCGTCAGATTTCAGAGATAAAGTTCAAAAAATAATCCAGGCTTTACCGGAACATCGTCTAGTTTTCACTGACGGATCCTTTTTTTGTGACCAAATATACCTCACATAATATGAAGTTACATCCATTCAGTTTTATTTATTCTGCAGAGATAAATGCCATTGCTATGGCTCTAGAATATTCATCTACATAACCTGACAAAACTACAGCAATTGCTTCAGATTCCTTAAGTGCTCTAAAGAGTTTAGCAAACATGTATTCCGATCGTCCAGGAATTCCACAAATACTTGAAATATGAATATTTATGACTGATAACGGTAAATCAGATAAGTACCTGGACATGTACCAACATTTCATACCAATAAAATGGCCGATGAAGCAGCAAAAGAAGCACTCTCTCTCCCAGGTCGTGGTAGGACCCAGCTAACACCATCAGATCTCTCACAGACGATTAAAGAGATTATCCAAAAGGAATGGCCGGGCGTATGGGATAAGAGGACTCCTTGCAAACTGAAACTAATAAAGAAAGATGGCCGATCTTGGAGTTCTTCTAGGCGAAGCATTCGCAGATATGAAGTCATCCTTGCCCGACTTAGGATCGGACACTCAAGATTGACCCACCTCCACCATTTTATCTATCATTTTTACTTATTATTTATTTTTTCTTATTTACTTATTTTTTCTCATTAAACCTATCAGCGAAATATTTTATGGATAAAGCGCTTATGACATATATGTATAATCGACCTATAACATCAAAACAACCAACCAGCGACTGAGCCGCTGAGGTCAGGAGATGGAACGAATCAGGGACAAAAATATAAAGAATAATTAATGTTCTTAAGCTGTTTCTATCCGTATTTCACTTTCTAATTCATTCCGTTTCCATTATTCCAAACCACATCCCGTTGCTGTTAGAAATATTACAAAAAGCTGACAAAGATTCGAAATTTGTCGGTCGTTCCTGGAATCACAAAGGTATCTCTAACTCTGACGCTATGCGATGAGCGCGGGCGCAAATGTTCGTCAAATGATTTGCTTAATGTGAGCGAATAGTTCACGAAATATGAGACAAATATCCCATATTTAGTGGTTCTTGTTATTAATATTGATTTCGTCAACTGTAATCAAGTTGATGACAAGTTCACACGCATCAAGTTCACACATGAAGTTCACACAACTTTGAGCATTAAGGAGTAAATCGAGACCACGAGGAGATGGTCAAACAAACGAAATCACAACTTAAACTCCTCTTTCTAACCGAAATGATGTAACATTGCAGTTTCACGAAAAGTTATTGACGGAACTCATTATGAGTCAATGGCTACGAGAGACATATCGAAGGAGATATAAATGACGAAGATGAAAAATGACCTCACTAGAGATAGCTGAAGGTTCACAGCGCACCTCAGGAGTTAATTAATCATTTTAGGAGTCAAACCCAAAGAATATATATATGAAAAAAAAACCGAGAGCTGTGTAAACCTCCATAAATGAGACCGTATTTTCTTCTCATAAGCTACTAGCTATCACCGGACTCATTAAACGAAAGCATCTAGAGCTTGAAAC